AGTGATTGCCTCTAAATTAAAGGAATTATTATCTTGCTCACATAAGTCATTCACCTTAGCTTTCATTTCAGTGATAAGTAGTCCTGCTGCAACCTTTTCTATCCACAAGCTACCTACAAGAGGTCATTCTCTATGAAGTTTTGAGGTTGATGATTACATGATACTTGTGCCTTCTGAGTGAGAAAGGAAATTGTTCCATCAAAGGAAGTGGCAGAACTAGAAATTCTTAAGGTTAGAGGAGGAATTTTTTTTACCCAGTCTTCTAACCCATTGTGTGGAAATAGAAATTGAGCTGCACAGACTCATCTAAGAATTCAAACTTGGCAGACACTTAATATAGCAACTAGAATATAATACAGTTCTCATTCTGAAGAGGAAGTAACACGCCGTGAACTGGCAGAGTAATGACTCAACTTCAGAGGAGATTCCAATATTAAGAAAAAGTTAATGGAATAGGTCTGAGAGTAAAAACTAAGTGAAATAGTATCTTTAGATGTTTCATGGGTGCCACTTGAAAATATTGTTACTGAGGCTTGCAAAGTATGGAAGAAAATGGGCTCCATGAGGAAAAGTCCTAAGTCAGGCCGGCTGAATGCCATTTGCTGTAAGTGAAGGAAAAGAAACGTATTTCACATTTTAAATGCTACTGGGAGAGCCACTAGGAATAGGAAATAAGTCAGTAAAAGGGAAATTGTAGTAACTGAGATTAACTAGAAAAGTAAATATCGAAGGGTATGGAACCAAGCAATGTTACTGTCTTCCACTTGATTCAGCACAGGAAGCCTGGGAAAACACGTTGCTGGGTTTTGTAGCACCTTAGGGTTTATCTTCAAGTGTATCTCTCTGTTTTTCACTTCTGGCAGGAAGCACTCTAGTTTGTTTTCATCAGGTAAAGACTTTCCGAAGTCAGCACCTTAATCTTTTTTAAACTGGCAGGAAGCATCTCCTTGTCCTTTCATTTTCTAAGCAGCTCCCTTGAGCTATCCTGCACTCACTGCTCTTTCGTGACCTGTTGTCTTTCTAGAGTTGCACCACAGTTTATATGTCAGTTTAGCCTTAATTCTTGCAGCTCCACTAGCCCAGACAATCTCAGAAAAGAGAAGTAGGGTTTTGTATGCAAGGCTTGAAGTCAGTCATCTGTATGCAAGGGTGGAATTAAAATCTTAAAAGTAAAACAAGCAAAAAATCCAAGTAAGTCATTAGGTCCAGTGTTGTGAGGAAAATTCAGTGGGCACAGCACAGTTGTTTGCGTCAACTTAATGACCTGTTTTCATTAAATACAGTTATTTTACTATAGGCACAGAATTAGTCTTGTAGCTGTATATTCTTAAAGGCTCCAGGGCAGTCAAGGAAATTAAAAATCACTGTGTCAGACAAAGAGGTTGAAACAACAGTAATAAAATAAAGAGATAAATCACTAAGACTAGATCATCATGATAAAATAGTGTATCAGTAACACTGTTTCTGTAATGATAGATTACATTTCACTCAATATTTTTAGCATCTGTCAGTACAGCAGAGTAAAAGAGAAATTAAAGCATGTCTTTTTTTTTAAGATTCCAATGGTACTTTTCCACATCTCTCTTGGAAACATACAAACAAAACCAAATGCACAAATGGACATTGCAGTTTATCAGGAGACAAAACGAATTTCAGAACTACTGCCTGAATTGCCTCCCTCCCCTTAGGCACGGCTCACACTTCCCTCCATGGTGCCAGTGCAATTGCCTGTGTGGATATGGGTTAAAAGTCAGTTAAGAAGTAATTATGAGGTGAGAGGCAAATATCCCTCAATTAAGAGGCAGAAACACGGGAGAAGTACAGTTACACTGCTTGTCAGGGCTAATGCACTTTAGTGTGTAATATTAAATGCTGTATGGTATGTTTATTAAATGCATGGAAGAGTCAGTGTTGAGGCAGCAGCTGTTGAATACAGTGCTAGATGGTATAATTTAGCAGAATTCACATAGGACTACGAAGAATTTCAGTGGGACAAAAGCAAACCAAATGAAGAGGTCATACCAACTCAAATTTCAGTCTTGATAAATGCTAAAATATAAGTTTGAATGGCTTTTAACTTGTAAAGGGTTCAAAGCTGAAGGCTGCACTGAAGAAAGTGATGCATGTTTCACTGTAAATAATACACTGTAAAAAACTTTAAGTGTCCATCTGATGTTGAAATAAAATCAAACAGAATGCTAAGGGGTATGAAGAGCAGATTAGAGCACAGCAATTTTCTGAAATCCATTTGTAGAAAAACTGAGGTATGTTAAATGAATAAGCAGCATTAAATAAAATGCAGAATGGGAATCCCAAATTTCTAATAGTAAAAGACTCAAGGAATGTTCAAGAAAGATGAAAGTTCTTTTCATTTACCCAAATGGATTTTGGAAACCACTAAGAACAACATTTTGTCAGCAAATAAATAAGCTGCTGAATGGAAATAAAGGAGAATTGAGAGAATGCCAATATTATTTTATAATAATTAATGATAGGATACTTAAATAATGAACATCATTAATTAAAATTTAAAAGGCTTGTTAAGCATCATGCTTCTAGTTTAAGATAACCTGTAAGCAATGCTGAGTCCATCACTGTGAGAAACTGTACTTTATTTTTAACTTGGCATTACAATTCTTTTCATAGGCAATTTGAGATGATTCCTCAGTTGCATAATCAATAAATGATGCAATATGGGAGTTCAAATGTCCTGGTGTTAGGCTCTGTGCCACTTCCTGTCTAGGCTCTGGAGATTTTGCATTAGTGGGGGATTTGCCAGCTTGTTCAGTAGTCCCAACAGGATAATGCTTTGTGTGATGGAAGGCATTTCATCAAAGTTGTGCTCCATCGTATGCAGTGTGTGCTTTGAATATGATTTTGATACTATCTCCTCTGCGTAGTGTAAGCGTAGCTGGTTCCACTGAGCTGAGGACCATGAGCTGCTAAGGAGAGACATGACACTGATGGGCACATAGGATAGCACCAGAAATGGTTGTCTTTACTGAATTTCACTGTTTAGCACTCATATTCTCAAAACTAATGCTGGAAGCCTTAACAAAAGGAATGAAACCATAAGGCAGAAATTGTTTTTAGCAAGTCATTACTGATGAGTATTCCAGTTGGCTGGGGTAGCCTTAAGGAGATAATGAAAAATAGGCTCTGGAAGGAGCCAGCCTTAGAAGCTGCATCTGAAAAGATACTACTTGCTATTGACTTAACATTCTTTCTTTCTTGGGTTTTAGATTTAAAAGAGAGCTTTGGAATCCTTCTTATGTCTTACCATTTGCATCATACTTGATTCACTGCTTCCTGTTGGCCAAGTTCAGCTCAACAGCTGCTTTTTGCATGAGCATGCTCTAGATGTCTTCTAAATATCTACTGCAGTTTTGAGTTCTGTGAAGAGTACAGCAGTATAGAGTTTTAAAAAAGTATTTGTATATAATACAGGAAAATAAAAATAGAACTGTTTACTCATACAAAGTATGAATCATCCTTTATTCATACAAAGTAAGGATTTTAACAATTCAGAAGAATGTGTGTGTGTATTTCTTTCAGACTATTATTCTTATGGGACTGGGCACAGGGGCAGTAAGCACATCATCTTCTCTGATTTAGCACTCCTGTCAAGTACCTTGGCCAGGATCTTCCAAAGAACCTGGTTCCTTCAGTTAGCTCTAGATATGTTTTGATTAATGGTTATCACCTTTTCTGGCAGGTTTTCCTGGCATTCCTCTTGGCAAGGAGTTTTGAAGATGTGGGCCAAAAGTGTAAAAAAAGTGTGGGCACTCAGAAATATTCTTCATCTTAGAATATCCTGGTTAAAATTGAGAAGAAACATTGATAATGTTTTCATTCTGTTTTTCAGAAAATAGCACTTCAAGTAAATTGGCCATTAATTTGCTTCTTTTCCAGAAAGATAAAGTGAAGAAAGAAGTAAAATATAGTTGGTACTGACAGAATCCTCTCTGAAACCCAGTTAGTGTGACACAAGAATGTGGTCTTAAAAGATTACAATTCACTTAGGATTTACTCTTCCTTCTCCCTTCCCAAAAAGCGAAAAGCAGGAAAGCGAATCCCTGTGTCCACTTTATGGCATGGTGCCTCAAATGATGAATGCTGACACATTTTGATTAAAAAAAAAAATGGAAATCCATAAAAAAATAAAATCAGCTTAGTGAATTGAATGTTGCTTCCTTAACATTTTTCATCCTGAACTCATTTAGTAGGGGAAATGGATATTTCATCAGACATGGATTTGACGTTCCATCACATTATACAGTAAACAGTACAAACGATGTTATTTTTTTAAAATGGAGAAGCTGGAAGAGCTAAGACAGTAGCTGCTGTAAGGCACTGGTTATCTCATTTAAACAGATATTAAATGTAGGTGCCAGTGGTGTGATCATCAGCTGCTTCCCACTTTGTGAATAAATTGCTTAGAAGGAGTCTTTTTTCCTACCAGATGTGACCTAGATTTAGATTTCCAAAGGCAAAAAAAAAGTCTATTGTGTAAAAAAACAATTGTGGGTAAAATGCATGGTAAATGAGCTTATCTCACTTTTCCAGGTGTTTAAGCTAATATGTTATGGAATTACAGCTTCATTTATGAAAAATAATTGAGGAAAATGTTCCAGCAAATCAAATTTGGATAAAGGCTTAGTATAGTTATTGTGTTGTTAGCAAGTTTTTAAATGGAAGAAAAGGGAGCCAGCGCAGATAATAAAAATACAGAAATCTGTGAATCTGTGAAGAGGCTTCTGCAAAGGGTCAGGGCTGGAAGTGGTATCCTACCTGTATTGTGGTCCTGCAAAATGTCCTGGAACAATATAAAGAATTCTACTCCTGACAATTCATATGAAAACAGGATTTTTTCTTAAAAGACCAAGCATTCATATCTGTTGGCCCTGGCTAAGATTAATGACATTAGTAGAGTAAGGGTACAATCATCAAAATTATTTATTCTTTTTCTCATTCCTCTTTTTCTTTTATCGATTCCATAGGGGCTGCCACTCGAAAACCAGACCCGGAGCCCGAGAAGCAGACAGACCACACCGTTAAAATTGCTGGAGTCATTGCAGGCATCTTGCTGTTCGTCATTATATTTTTGGGGGTCGTGCTGGTAATGAAGAAAAGGTGAGCAATTAGTGGATGTTTCCTATGTCCATATTCATATTGCATCTCCTACGGCAGTGCTCAGTTTGCTGTTGGTAAAAGTGTCCAGCCACCTTCCGTGCCCTCTGAGAATCAATGTTTGTGTCTTTGTTTCATATATAACAACTCAAGGTTAATGATTCTAGCACTTCTTACACCAGTACTGCATGATGGACTCTAATAACAGGAGAGTATCTTGTCCTGTGTGAGTCTCCACCCTATTCAACAGATCGGCTGGAAGCTAGGTGTAGTTTCATTCTTGCATGTAAAAGAAATCCTTAATCAAACAAGAGCTAGAGTTAAGGTAATTTCTGCTAAGAATGAGGTCTGTATTGTTCTGCATAAACTTCATTCCCTGAAAACAAAGGAAAATGTTAAAATGGTGCTGAATATTTCCAAATGCTGGTTCAACACACTCATGCATTGAGATTGTTTTGCTTTGAATATCATTTGAAAACTGCTACATTATTAGAACTGTAAGGCTTTTAAAACTGCCTTTCTCAACACTGTAAGAGGTAAAATAGTAACAGGAAAAATATAGCTAGGGAAGTGGCACAGATGAGGAAAAAAGCCCCTATGATCTTAGAAGCTTAGTCTAGATTGAGAGAAATTAATTAGCAAATAGAATTAAGGTTTTACCTTCTATAATGAGCAATGTGAGATTTGCAGCTCTTAGAGGTGGGGTTGGGAATCTGTGAGTGCTGTGTAAAAGGGCTGAGTGACAAATTCTCCTTCCACGCCTGCCACAATCTCCCTACCGTGTCCCATAACCCCTCACCTCCTTGCTACTGCCCTTGAATTATCCCCTTTTTTCCTTTGGCCTGATTTGGCTCATCCTGACCCTGTGTAGTTTAATTGTATGTTAACTAGTTTGGCAGGTCTGAGATAGTCCAAACCCCTGAGCTGCCCACATTTCTTCCAGAATTTGAGCAGTGGAGGTGCACAGCAAAGGAGGCAGCTGCCTGACAGTGCCTCAGGGCAGGCAACAGAAGTAGCTGCTTTTCATTCTCCTTGAAGGCAGAAGCAGGGCCATGAGTTAGAAGGGCTCTATGGAGAGAAAGGCGAGCTGTGGCCAGGGCTGGGGGCTAGGTCATGACAAGAGGTGTGTAAAGCACTCAAAAGCTGCCGTACAGAAGAGACTGAGACTTAAGCCCCAGGGTGAGTCTGACTGGGGCAATGGAGTTGACCCAGTAACCAAGTCTGCTCAATAAAGTACAGTGTAGCAGGGTTGAAATCTGTTCTGACTTTGCAGTACTTTTTTCTTCCCACTTCCAATTCCTTGCATCGTTCATACCTTCAATTTTAACAGCTGAACTCCCAAACTCCTCCCTAGAGCCAGACACAGCACTTGGCATGCAGGGAGGAAGGCTCCTTGGATTTTCTGGCCAATCCTTCTTCACACAATTCCTGACCAGCATTCATCATTCTCTCTGTTGAGTTCTGAGCCTCTCCTTAAGTGTTTCTGCCAAAGGTAGAATGTATTCACCCAAGGGAGACAAGTTATTCTTAATCTTGAAGGGAGAGCATTGCAAAATGATCCAAATAGTTTCAAAGAGAATAAGGTGTCTGGGTCTCTGGCTAAATGGATGCTATGCCAGCTCCTGCTTAATTCTCTAGAGAAAAACTCTTTGATAATCTAATTATTAGAGGCAGGAGGGCTCAGATCCTAAGTGTTTGCATTAATGTAGAAGGATACTTGATTCCTTCTGTCTACCACAGCGAAGTAATTATTATTCATAGTAATTCTGTTGTTAGAGAAAAAGCGCATTCTGTGAGCTTCCTTAGTTTTTTTAATAAATCTGCTTGTGACAGGAATGGAATTACTGAAAATACAAGTCCAGGAACTCCGTTGCCAAATACACACAATTCCATTGTGTAGTACAGAAAGAATGATACCAATAACTTAAACATGTCCCAGAATGATGCTGCAGCCTTGAACAAAACAAACTGAAATGAGTTGAAGCAAATATTAAAAAGTAAGAATGGTTCATTTGAGTAACAGGATGTGACTAGGCTTTAATGAGAGTTTCAGGAGGTGGGTATATTGTGTCCCAAACCTCTTAAGCATCTGCTGTAGCATAGAAGATCTTGAATACAATTACACTCATGACTTAAGCAGAAGATGAACCGATTATTCAATAGATTGTTATTGGTGCATTAATTCACTAGGCTGCTGAGGGCCCCTATGGTTTCACCTTGGTTCAGTTACTGTGTATACATTATGCATTCGAAGAAAACGTATAAATCATGCCACAAGCTTAGTGTGACCCCAGAGGTTTTGCAGTTCTGCGGTATTTTTAGGTGCTACTTTGGGAAACAATCTTATCAAGCTAGTGTGCTGTTTGACTTCTGCACTTGATCATTTTATTTCATTTACTTTATCAGGAGCTTTACTAGTGTAAAGGTCTGAGTGAAAAATAAAATAGCACCTTGTAATTCAGTGGCACCTTTCCCCCGAGAACCACTTTGTTCTCTGCACTATTATATGCAGACTCTCTGGGCTACAATGGTTTCACTGCACTGAGTCTACATGCTTTGAAACTTGTCTTGTTTGGAGTTGGCTACAGCAAAATCCCATTCACATCCTGCTATCCCAAGGCATGTCCCAAAGCAAATACCATGTGTTATTCATTCTTCCACAGAAAAGAGTCTTGTGTGCTTGATCTCCAGATCGCACCAGTAGATGAAACCAGCTCTGTCTCTGGGACTTCACAGTGCTTAATTAACTTAATATCAAACCATTTATTTCCATTGTCAAGCAGCTGGAAAGGAGTTTCACTTGTGTGATAACCATGACTTTGTCCAGTCTATTCCTTTAAATAGCCACCTTATTTCACTCAGCAACCATTCTTTGTTTGGTTGGTGCCAGGCACCACAGATTTTCACAGATTAGTCTCTAGAACTTTTAATTCAGTAGCCAAGTAGAGAAGGCCAACATTCAAGGAGGTTTTCAGTGTGGCACAGACATGCTTTGGATATGCCCATTATCAAAACAATATGTAAAGAAGTTCTACAAATATTAATAGTCATTAAGCAGCATTATTAATTTCACTATATAATAGTGAGGTCTTCTGAAGTATTTATATCATAAACCAGAGAGATTAGGTGGCCTAGCAATTCAGTGCATGGTTTGGAGTCACTAGTGAGGGTAGAAACATCATGCCTGCTGAAGCATTTTCTGTATGAACTCTCAGCTTTTAGCTGAAGTAAACCAAATTTGTAAACTTGGCACATGGGGCAGGGGAAGGCTGTTAGTGCTTTCCACTTTATCTCTCCTGAACTTGGTTGTTCATCGTTCTTTACCCATTCTGTTCTATCCCTTTTTTATCCATTAGCATTCCTGCATAAAGGTGTTGTGTAATGTAGTCTAGGAACCTGCATGCTATTCCCAGCACCAGTATTGTCATATCAATGAGATGATTCTTCTCTGTGAAGTCAGAGTAGTGCCAATAGGCTTTCCTCCCCCCAGTTATGCTCTGTATCTCACTTAAGAATTAACACAAAGCTAGATGAAAACAATACATGTGTTACCACAGAACTGATCCACAATAAAGTGGACTTTGAATCTGATCCTGAATGTTAAATCTTGGGCAAGGCCCACTCTTTGATGTACTTGCATAGGATTTTATAAAAACATTAAAAATAAAGAATGCACCAAGTAACTTCATCTTTTGGTCAACTTAAAGTGGAGCACTGAAAATGAGAGTACTGTTGCTACAACCTTTGGAAAAGCAATAGCAATTAAATCAAGACTTGCATAAATTAGACACTTACTGCTTTATTTTCTCCTTTCCTTTTTATCTTTTTCTTTATATTCTATTAAAGTTAAATATAAAAATTTTGCATCAGTTGGTAAGTTAATGGTTCAACATTTCCTTAAAAGCCCTTTAGATGTTTTTGGGGCAGCTGTTTCCATTGGGGTTGCCATTTTCTTGCTGCAGGGAGAGTGCAGTAAGGAAGCAGTTATTAAAATTTTATTCCACTGGCTGCTGATTCAGTTGTAGAAGGGTGTTTTTCTGATCATAAAAAGGCTATTTTGTTTTGTCTGGTTTTAGTTTCTGTTTTCATCTGTCTCTGTGCCTGAACATTCCATGAGTTTCTACTGTATGTAATTGTGGCATCTGTTTAAGTCAGAGACCTTGGTTCTTGGCAGTGGAGAAGGAAGGGTTTTGCAGTCAGTGGTGCTGGGCTGGGAATGCATTGTTCCCATTCCCTGATAGCAAATCAGGCTGTTCAGCTATACACACACCTTTGCCAACAATTTCAAGCACTTAGGATAGAAACTGAAGATAATAAGGCTGAAGGAAAATTCCAGCCTCCTCTCCCTGAACCTTGCTTTTTCCCCAAAAGCTAGCTACAAAAGAGATGATGAAAGAAATCACTGAGGTAATGATACAGTTCCAAAAGTTTCTATTCTGATGGGTCAGTCCTTCTGCAGCCACCCTCCAGTGCTGGTTTTGTTAAATTGTATAGTGGGGCCTTATTCTACAAGTGGTATTAATGAAATTAATGTTTATCTTCAGTCCTAAAGGAGTTAAAAGTGCTTAATATTGTCACAATATGCAGAGACAGTTTATTGACATAAAATAACCTCACTACCTGGAAGTGACTGAAGAGCCATGCTCATAAGAAAATTTGGCCTAAGTTGGCCAAAATCTTTGCATTGGTCTTTTTAACAGAAAAAAAATTTTCATACATAGACAGAAATTTTAGTTTGTATTCATTATGTTGGAGGAAGAATGGAGCTTGTCCATATTTCTTAAAAAAGCTAAATCCATTCAGTTATGAATGGTGCTTTTTCATGTGGCCTGAAAAGCTTGTATAAAACTTGCAAGTATAAAATTTACAGTTTCTGCAGGATTTTAATGTATTTTTCTTACCTGTTCCTTTCAGTGTATGGTATTCTTGAGAGTCAACACTTGGTGCTGTTTTTTAAGGACTTTTATATGGAAAATCTCACAACTGTAGCAATACAAAAATAGCTGGAGCTTGAGACTAACAATTTTTCTCATGTTATGCAAATTCTTAATGGGACATTTACAGACAATAAGGTTCCTGGATTTTCAGCATTTTTTTCATAAGGAATAATTTATCTCTGTAACATATTTGGCAGAATTCTGCATATAAGTACCATCAGTGCTTCACTGATTAATTATATTTATTGTTGTTTCTCAAATTATTATACATCTTTTAGAAGTATGAGAACATTTTTACTAATTACATTAAATCTCTCTTGTGGCAACATATGGCAAGAAACAGGGTTGGCAGTGTCATGAGATTCTAAATCAAAGTGAGAGAATGAGTAATTCTGAAAAGAAAGGTAGGGGGAAATGTAATTATGGCTGAACTAGAAAACAACTGCTTGCTTATAGTGCAGGTAAGTGCTTTGATAGGACCTGATCCCATGCTCCCTATGGATTGCAGAGGCTTACAACTGTTTTGCAGTTGCCCCTTACTCTATTCTTAGATATCTTTTAAAACTCAGCTTCAGCAGGTATACATTTTCCAGATGTGCCATGTGATTAAATATGCAGTGTGTAGCCTCCTGTGTTTGAACAATACTGTTTGCATCAGAAAAATGGGAATAAAAACTGGAAAATATTTCTTGCGGCATCTTCACACAAAGAAGATGAGAGAGAAATTTTGATGAAAGCCTAGTTTTCAAAGGGATGCCTGAAGCATGTAGCCAGAGGCAAGTTAACATTAGTTATAGTCCTTTGCAAGGCCTGTTTACATGTTTCCTCTGTAGTCAAAGGGCTGTATGCATGTGCTGTAAAAATTACAAATGCCTACATGGTTCCTTTCAGTCTTTCATCTTACCAACATGTGAATGCTAGTCGACATTATGCTCAGAGACATTTTAAGATCTCTAGCCTTCTTTTAATTGCAGTCAATATATGGAATTCATTTGGGTTGAAGCTTGCCCTTTCTGGAGGGTTGCAGCCCTGCTCGTAGTGGGCTCGTAACTGAGGGAGGGGAGGCTGTAAAGCAGAAGAGCATAGCTGGAGGGCTTCTATACTTCATGTTCACACAGAGCATGTCTGAGTGAGTACCTGGCTGTGCAAGAGGTTATACAAGGCTGACTGAGCCCATATTTGTCAGGGTGCTGGTGCTAGGTCTCCCAAGTTGTTCTTTGTGGCATTCACTTGGGCAGGAATAACATGGATACAGGATCAGTTCTTATTTTTATCTCTGCCACATGGGGAAATACCACCAATTTAATTTTAGCCCACAATAATAGACTTTCTATTTGCATGACAGTAAGTATCTCTTCCTTCTGAATTTAAAAGGTTATTTAAAAGCTGAAATATTAAAAGAGCTGTGGTTGATTTTTTTTCCCCTCTGGAAACAAGTCCTTTCAAAGGCAGAACTGACTGCTTTAAGTAAAAAAAGGGATAAGCTAAGATTCTACAGGGCTGTGATAGGAAGAGGAGCTACTTCAAACATATTCTGAAATTCTGTATTGGTGAGCTTCTAACACCATCCTAGAAGTTCCATACCCTTATTCCTAATGCAGCTGAGGTGTAATCAGAAGTGGTTTAGCACTTCAATTGGGAATATTTGTGTGTATAGTGTGAATAGTGTAAATATGAAAAGACATTAAATGCTTAACATTAGTTAGTAGCTTTACTTTAAGGTGGTTTGATTTAACAGGTGGAGATGCATTATATGTTGTACTCCTCAAAGTGTTATGGAGCTTGGATATGTCACCTGTCTATTCCAGAAACATTGCATGATATGCCCAGATATACATTCTTGCTACCTTTCATTTGTGTCACCAGTTCAGGTCTCAGTTTCATCTTGATTTTTCATACATTAATATTTGACTTTTCTTTCCTTCCATTTCATCTTTTCCACCACTGCCTAATCCTTCCACCATCATGGCAGAAGAAGCTATCACTCCTACACTTATTACCTGTAAGTAACTTCTTTGTCATCAGAGACACACTTTCTGCCATGTTGTTCCATGCCTAAGTAGTGAATGCTAATACTGAAAGTTCCTTTATAAAAACATACTTTGTAAAAATTTCACCAAGATAAAAACATGGTCAATAATGTAATGAAATATTTAGCTTTGTAAGAGTTTCTTATGTCTCATACTGTGCATTAGAGTCCTTTGAATAACATTATGTAAAGAATTTTCTTAATTGAGAAGTGGTAGGTATAAATATCCATGTCAATGAGAAATTTTCATGCCTAAATAACTATTTTAGAATTTATTTAGTAGTTTGTTTCTCATTTTTACTGTTGAAATAGCATTGGTTAGACATGTACAAGCACTTCCATTTGTTGCTGTGTACATATTACTACTTTTTTATGAATAATGATCATGCATAAACATCATAAGTTACCATTCCTGGAGTGAATTTCAAAGGAGAGAGCACTAAAAAATGAGGATGAAGCATAACTTTCAGTAAGTAACAAATTTTTTGTTTTGATTCAGTCCTTAGTAATACCATTATGTGCTTCTTTATTTACTCAAAGCCTCACTTCATTCCCTGTTGTCAGCAGGTGATGAATAAGAAGGGTTCTTCTTTGAATTTAGAAAATCCCTTTCTGAGGCTGTTCACTTCTACTTGCTTTCCAGGTACAAGGAGTACATAATAGATTAGCAAAATACTAGGAGTCTTGCTTAGTTGCAAAATGAGATGCCTTTAATCTTGTATAATCCTGCTGGCCAGCAGCAAAATCAGCTATCCAGTTGTTATCTGTTTTCTTTAAACCTCAGATTTAAAAGTCATGAGAACCTGTGAGATATTTTTACATGGTTACAGAAGTTGGGGTGTTCCTTGCATAAGACAAATTTTAGTACCAGTTTTTTACGTACGTATGGTGGTAGCATGCTCTTGAACACATTTCAGTAATGTTTTTATTTAAATGCAATATGTAGCTTGTCATGTTCCTTTCAGTTGCTCTTCAAACGTCTTAAATACGTTTTTTTTCCAGTTTATATTTTGAAAAAAGCATCAAACATTCATTTATAGAATTTATGGAAAAATGTTTAAATGTTTTCTATCTTGAAAACTTGTTCTTCAAGAAACCAAGCAGAACCATTCTTCAAATGAATTAAAGCAACTAAAATTCAAACCTCAAAACTGAAATTCTTTAAGACTTCACAATATATGGAAACAGCTCATGTGCTTGGTAATTCAGATTTCATATTATATTATTTGACACTTTATGTATAGTGCCATTTTTTTTTAGTTGTAGTTTAAAGCAATATATTAATGCGGAGGTCAGAGAAAATTAGCTCGTCCACATATATAGTATTCCAAAATTTTTTTCTGTTCCAGATATGAAAAGACATATTTTCCATGAAATACAACTTAAAAAAATAAATTTAGTTTGGGAGCATTTAAATGTAGTTCTTCAAAATGTTGAAAGAATATAATACCGTAAGACATGTCTTGCCTTAATAAGTAAATATATTTAAATTTATATTTTAATATGATTCATGTCTCAAGGCTAAGTAAAAAAAAATTGAAACAAATGGAACATTAAATGAAACACTGTTTCATTATTTAGAGAAATTGGATTCTATCTTTCTTTTTTTTTCCTCTTTTTCCACAGACAAAGGAAAATGCCTGAATTGAAATGTTTCTTTTAGGTATTACAAACAGGTTTTGTCCCTAGTTTTGCAGTCACAGAGACTGTTAATAACAGATGGAATAGGGCATCTGAGGATTATTTTAAGTACTCTCCTAATGACATCAAGAAAAGATCTTTTTGTTAGTGTGATACAGTTTCAGTAACTTTGTAGCTTGGGTTGATTAACTTTTCCAGAAGAAATTGTGGGATTTTGACCTCATAGTGTTTTGTTCCCCATCTGACAAAAGAAGGGAAGTAAGAGCCCTGCAAAGTGCAGTCAAGATTGGCTGTCAGTAGAAGGAAATATTTTGGACCAAATTCTCCACCTGTTTACGCATCACACAATTTCACTGAAATTGGTGGAAATCTTAGATGAATGCAGGATTCATTACAGTTTTATTTTTAGCTGAGGAAGTTGGTATGGATTATAAAATGTTCTATATTTTGAGAAACATAATTTCAAGTACTCTGCCATTGCTAATTTACCACTTCTATACTGAGTATCATATTCAAATTTACTGATTAGTCATTGTAAATGCAAGCTATAACATCCAAGTGAGGATCTATGCACTGAAATAGTTACTATTGTCTTCTGTGCTGCTTTCCTTGTGTGCTGTGGGCTCCTTTTCCCTAGCAGACTGCAATCTCTGCCACTTCTAGATCCATCCTAAATTAAAATTTAAAAAGAAAAAATTGGCAGATGCCGAGAGCTGCTGATGAATCGTCAGAGGTGGACCTACAGCTGTGCATATTTGGCAGAGAATTATTTCTATTTTATCTTGTGTTTACTAGTTAGCCAGTCAATAGATATTACAGAAAAAAGAGTTGAGTACTGCTATTGAGAATTCTTTTTAATGGGCCTAAGTACCTCTGCCAGTCTTTCCTCCCCCTCTTGCATTCCTGACATCTGGTGCATTTTTTACCTTTCGCCTCAGTCAGGCTGCAGATTTTTTTTTAATTTTTTTTTTTTTTTTTTCTGGACATAGTTAGTCCCCTGTATGTTCTTTTGTTCCTAAGATTAGAGTAAATTTTGTAGTGCTCATTAACTCTGCTGCAGGTCTTTTGACTTGGCAGTTGATTCCAGGTGGGAAAAAGGAAGAATGGAGATGATGTCATTAGTTGCACTGGCAGTGAGTGATGTTCTCAGCATGGCAGGTGGCACTGGCACGACTGCTTGCTCCTGACACATCTTCTGATGGGCAAAACCCCCATGCCATGGGCTGAAGAAGGAAAAGTGTGTTTGTGTTTCGTTGTGTAATTATGGCTAAATGGGCTAGGCAAGCCTGCTGCTGAGGTGACAGCAAGCACCACTGTGCTGACCATTGGCCTTTTGTATGTGAGATTTTAATTTTTGTAAAGATTCTGCCCTTGTAGCTCATTAACCATTTGACAGGAGCTAACAACTACATTTCATGGAAATTAAAGCTTAAGAAAAACAAATTGAATGCTTGGACCATCAGACTTTACTCCAGACACTGCTGGCTGATAGTTTGGCCAATTCAATTTGCCCCACATTCTCGGGCAGATAGTTACAGATTGTAGCTTTCATAAGTTCTTTTCTATAAAAGATTTCAGTATATTGCTATGAGTGGGATGTATACCAAATTAAAATGCAAAGTTGTGAAGGCAGCTTTTGATGCTGTTCCTCAGTTTGAGCTTGATATCAAAATGATATGTTATGATTATTACTGAAATTAAGTACTTATGCAACAACAGAGCTGCACAGCAGTTAGGTGCATAATGTTATTATATTTTTGTGCCTTTTCACGAGTAATTTCAGCTTGTGAAAGGTGAAGTAGGGAAATAGGAGACAATTATTACGTAATATTCTTATACAATGCTAATCATGTTAAGATCTTAATAGCAGGAATCTGCTCTTGTGTGTCCCAGCACTAATCATCTAGTTAGGTGCCCTAGAACAGAAGTGCATCATCTGTATGGAAATCTGAATCCCAAAGCTTAATACTATATTAAAATACTAAAATAATAGGCTTTATAGGACTAGAGGCTCTATTGCCTGGTACTTGGTGTATGACACAGGGGACAAAATTCCTCCTGCAAGAAAACTAATTCCACAAACACCGAGCTTTTTCATATAAATGTGCATGAAAAACATAACCTACTTCCCATGAGAATTTGATAGTTTGGGGCCCAGTTAAGTATGCTTTTCTTGTGTCTCTAACTTGAGCTCAGAAGCCTGGCAGTCTGTTCTCAGTTTAGTTCCCTTGCTTCACTAGCAGATACTCAGTGTTGGCTTCTGTATCTCTCTATAGAGACTTAATTTCTAGCTCATTTGCACCGTCCCACTGCCATTGACCCAGTACATAGGGCAGAAAGCTCAGTGTTAGTAAATTTGAAAAATTACCCTAATAATTAAAGTAATAATGTTTCAAAAAAATCTATAGTGTCAAAACTCCTAACAGCAATTTCTGGATAATTCCAGAGAATATGCAGTCTTCACATTTAAAACCAATGTAGTAATTCAAAAATAGAGAAGGAGATAAGAAAGAATCCTGTTTTCTTAACTACAGCTGCCCTGGGAACCAGAGCAAGATCATGTTTGCATCTTGTCGGTGGAGGAGGGTATTGAACAGAAAAACACGAATGTGTTTGAACTGTTTGATCTGTTAGACTACACCTGTGATCTCTTCTGCTTCTTTAAATATGCAGAGTTACATAGGCCTGTGTCATAGAATCCTGTAACCAACAGTAACCATGGATTTCTGTAACTGTGCTGTAAACTAGACTCATATGATAAGGGGATGTCCCAGAAGTTTGTTGCGTGTTGCAAAGTCTACAATGCCGATATACTGAAATCTTCAGATAATATTTGGTGTCCAAAATAAGGCAAGAAGGGTGTTCTACTGAATCACTATAAACTACATTTTTGTGCTACATGCTGTTTGCTTTGTGTACTGATGTGCAGTATCTAGCTTTTATGCACAGATAGCAAAAAGGATCAGAATTTGGATTTTATTTTTAATTAAAATACATTACATAATTTTTTAAAATTTATCTAAAGTCATTATTTCTTATACTGATTCCTTGTATCTTCTGATTCTTTTGGATCTGATTATATTGCTTTATAGCCAAGGCTTACATTCCCATTTCACTGTACAGAAATTGTAAATAATCCTTAACACACTGACCAGCAGCAAGTAATTATTTTTTTAAATTTTATTAGTTCTTTCTGAAGCATTTGAGGGAGGGGCTGGTGCTTTCAGGGGCATGTTTGTGTTGCCTCTTTCTTGTACCCCCTGTCATTAGCACTGTTGCTGTTACTGTTTGTTTTCCTGTCCCACTGCTGTTTCCAGTAAATTGCTCTTGTC